GGTCGGCTGCCGGGGGTTGCTGGAAAGGTCTCCGGTTTCCCTTGGTGCTTTGCTGGGCGCGCTGGGGAAGCCGCTGCTGGCCGAAATCCGTCGCCCCGCAGCACGTTTTGGCGTAAGCCCGGCTGCATCGCACATAAAACCAGCGGGTTATTGGGATTGCTTCTTCGGCGGTGTCACGGAACGCAAAATTGAGCCTAGCGATAGTCCGTGAGGTGCATTGTAACCTGCCTTTGATGCAGGTGATCGTGTAGCTCAAGGCCAGAAGTTTGTAAGGAGAAACACACAACGGTAGGACTCTGACAGAGCTTGTTGTCGCCGCAAATGCTTTTTCGTTGTCCCCCTGCAGCCAGGCTAGCACGGCACAGGGCAGCCGAGGAGCCTGAGTTTTAATGCTGCCTGTCCCACACAAGTTCCTCCAGGGACACATCCAGCTCACCAGGAGCGCAGCTGGCAGTGTATGGGAAGTGGACATCTGGTCAATGGACTTGGATTATTAAGGTTAAGTGATTTCGATATTCTTAGAAGTGACTTAGGCAGAGTCCCTCAGCAAAACCTGGAATGGAGCGTGGGCATAACATTGCAACCTACAGCGCGATTCCCTAGTTCACATGGTTTCGGTAGTAAAGTTGATCCATATGTTGTAGTAGCCGTGTAGGTTTAGAACATTCTTCTGCCTACTTTTCTGCCTGAAACATCTTGTCTCTCTCAATATTCTGATAAGTAGATTTCTATAAATAAATACACCATCTGCTTGTTTCAAAGAATAGGGTGTGTTTTCTGCTTTACTGATGTGGAGCTTTTCTGAAGTACAAGCCCGTGACTTTCAAAACTTCATGCCTGCTTTTTTTTTCTGATTGGAAGCAAGTACAAAAACAACCCAGCCTGAACTCCAGTTATTAAAAATGAGCTGCCACTGAAGATGATGTGGAAGTGTGAAGCTGAGTTTTGAAAGCGTTGTGGGCTTCGTGCAGCTCCCAGGGGAATTACTGTGAGCCCAGGCTGATGACGTGAGTGGGGACTGGACTCACTAGTATCTCCATGGCTTCTTTCCAGGGAAGCTCTGCTGAAGCTCTGCAGAGGAAGAGTAACAAAACCTAGTCAGAGTTCTGACAGAAATGATTTCCTCCTGGAATATCCCCTGGAATTTTGCTGGCATTGATAGAGCTGCAGAAGACATCCCGATTTAGACAACTGTGCAAACTTGGAGATAAACTTGGTTTGTCCCATTTTTCTTACATATTCTAAGGTGCTAAACACATAACTTGGCTTTGAATACGTATCATATAAGATACATGTGGTGTTCAGCATACAGAGCCATACATAAGTCGCTTCAGATTCCAAGAGTGGGATAGTTGTTAATCATGACAGCATGTGCAGCAAGGATTGAAGGTAGACAAATACGTCTATTGCATATGGAGTGCTTTGAACATGTCTTGTGGTTAATTACAAGGAATAAGACATAAAGGAATTATTTTGCTAAGTGAATTCAGGATCCTCAAAGTTTTCCCCTTAAGAGAAAATTCTGAACAGCCAGAAAAATCAGATCCCGCAGGTGTAACCGTTCTTTAAAGTGATTGTGAAAGTCATATTGTTTGGCATTAGGTTTCTCTGTGACTTCTGAACACAGCTGGTAGCCTTGCTGAAGTAGAAAGATTTATTTTTTTTCCTACTTGTGTAGTCTGTAAGCTTGATCTGAGTGAGAAAGTAAAATTATTTTATCTTTTGTCACATTCACTAATGCCAAAACTAGATGGACTTGATAGATGTGTGTCACTTAATCACTATCTAGTTTGCCAATAGAGTAAAATAATATCGGGGAGAGGGAACGTTTTTAATAGATCTTATGTATTAAAAGTTGTAACAAGCTTCATAACTTCCTTATAATTAATAATTTTTTAATAGTTGGGGTTTTTTCTAACTTCCATCTGGAAGGGAGGAAACACTGGAAAACAGTGGAAAACTGTTCCTGGAAACATTGTTTACAACAGTGATGAGTTCTTTTACTATTTCAAATAAAGCCAGGCAATGTTTATTTTTATTGTATTTAATAAGTTGGAGTGAGCGGCATAGAATTTTCAGATGCTATCTTCATGCAAAATTAATACAAATAATCATACAATGCTTTCTGTATTTATTTGAACTCATAAGAGCCCTTTCCATGTGAAAAAAAAAAAAGTGCTATTGTCATGAAATTGCCTGATCTGAGGATCCTTGTCCCCCTCCCCCTGCCCTCCACCGCCGCGATAGCAGTAACTGTTTCAGTACCACTGCCTCCCCCCAGACATTGAAGAGGTTAAAATAACTCTTTGTACATAGACCTCATTTTACTTCAGAGTAATTTACTAAGATTATTTGCTGACTGTGATTGTTTTTAATGTATTTGCAGGTACAGAAGCAAATTTTTTTTTACAGTCAGTAGGTTATATTTCTTAATCACTGTGGAGACACTGATGGGTGGACGAATACATTTTTATCAACTTGGTAAGTTGCCTGTACCTTTGTATTGTAATATAATAATTCACAGAATCAAGAATCTAGTATATTATATTCTACATACTACATTCTGTATGTAAACCATGATTTTCCCATAAGAAAGAAATGCTTTGAAACAGCATAATGCATTCTGCCTCTCTAAATGTCTAGTGAACTCTTAGTTGATAGTGGTTTTCATTTCTTACTCTGATTTTTTTTTTCAGGACTCCTTAGTTTCTGGATTAGCAGGCACATAAAACATAGTTTGTTGGCTGAGCCGTAGCTGTAATGAGAAACTGTTTTGACAGGATCATTTAATTCTGTAAAAAGGATAAGATGGTAAAGAAGATTCCCCATTCAGTTTAGAGATCATCTTTATTTCTCCAGTCTTAATCTTCCCAGTAACTTGGTCTACGATTTTTTTCTTGTCTGTGTCTTATGTAAGAGTGTAACCTACAGAATTTTGCAACTCTCCAACTATCTTTGCTAAACATGTTTGTTGAAACAAAGTCCTGAGGCAGTTTGAACTCTAGATAAACGAATTTGATTTTGGTAGGGCAGAGGCATTTAAAAATCACAAATACGTACAGAATAGAAAAACATTTATGTCAACAGGAAATACATCAGCCAGACAGCTGATACATGTGAGGTGGCTGGCATAAGGGAGAATGGCAAAAGACTGTTTGCGTCTCCTAATCCAAAGGGCTTGCTCCAAGGAAGTGTGTCATTGCTAGGTTAACAGTTGGGTTTGATGATCTTAAAGGTCTTTTCCAACCTAAACGATTCCATGATTCTGTGATTCTCCTAGAGCCTGTGCACTAACACTATGTTTCTATAATGGGAATAGTCTTAATGTGCTAAAGGCTGTGCGCCTGTTGGGAGAAGGAAGAATTCCTGCCATAAATGATTACAAATCCAAGGTTAACTGTTAAAGTACTGCTTTGTTATTCATACCTACTGGATGTTTTTTCCAGATAGGTGATCTGTTACTGTATGGCCAGAAATCAATTGTTCTACTTTTGACTTCACTTCTCTAAGGGTATGTGTATTATTCAGTAATAACATAGAAGAACAAGTGCAAAAGGAAGATGTGCAAGAGAGTTGTCTGTGGTTTGAGTGGCAGAATGAAGCTTGAGAGAGATGAGTTTTATGTCCTGTGGAAATATAAATTTGCTGCATGTGCAGCTCAAGTGAGCTGCTTAATCTCTTTGCATCTAATTTCAGAAGGGTTGCTGGGAGCATAGTTTAATACTTGCGAGATGGATGTCCAAAGAGCCAGATTTGTAAGAGATACTTGACTAAGTATCCATCCCAAATGATTTCTACTAACTTAGGTGCTCAGGTGTATTTGTGTGTGCTTCTCTGTGTGCCCACTGCTAATTAAAGGACATTTTTAAGGCAATTCTCTGCAGCCATGAAGATTCTGTGCAGATATCTCTAATTAATTGAGTAGGGAATTTTTCCTTTCCTCTTCCAATCTCTGTAGAAGCAAACAAGGATCCTAAAATAACTGCATTAATCCATTAGGAAATTCTCCCAGTGTGTCTGGGACAGAACAGTTCTCACTGACCCACTACTATTCTGAATCCCCTCTACTTTACCAAGAATACATATTCTGGTACTGTGTTTCACATCATCAGGGATTTGGACCCAGATGACCTCTGGAGGTCCCTTCCAACCGCAACTATTCTGTGATAGTCCTGTCCTATCCATTATTTGTAGATCTCCATAAAGCTTGTTTTACTTTTTTATGAGGTATGTCCCAGATTTCTTTTCTCTTTTCTTGGTCATTCTTAGTTCTGTTACATTGTTTGCCATAGTGTGGTTGGTACCTGAGAACCTCAGTTGTGGGCCAGAGTGCTACCGCATTAGTTGCTGTACAAATGTAACGTGATGCTGTAATGCTTGTACAAATGTAACATTCCTCATGCTGCAGAAGTTACCATTCTAAATGAGACGAGGAGAATAAAAGAACGTGTTAAGGCAGTATTAATCAGCATAGGTCAACAGAGGTAACAGGCCAGCGGTGTTTTGGGTATTGATATGTTTTTGGGTAGGTGGTTTAGGTGTCAAGACAAAAGAGAGTTCATGGAGAAGAGTTTTAGGGAAAATAATGAAGTAATTTTGCAGATATTTCCATGGAGTTTGTCTAAAGCATGAGAAAAAGCATGCATGTTTGAAATTAATATCTTCTTCGTCCAACTGAGTATAGGAATCAGCATCTCATCAGTAGGAGGATAGGCCACAAAATGCCTTTAAAATGAGGACAGAAAGTTTGTATTTGTTGTACTCTGAAAGTGGAAGGGAGCTAAAGGATCTTGAGAAAAAAATTAGAAGGCTCAGAACAATGATTTCAAGAGTGTCTTGAAACAACATGCTGAAAAGTTATGAATGATGCAAGACTGGGTTCGTCAAGGAAAAGAATTCTGGATACAGTGAGAATCTGGGTGAATGAACAGTCTCTTGTGGAGTTTATACTAGAAGATGTGGGGACCTCTAGAATGTCAGGATCTGTAAGAAGGCCGGGTTCAAGAGATTGCTCGGACAGTAGGCCTGACTGACAGGCTGAATGTGGCCTTAGTCATGCCCTGTGACAGGACAAGAGGTGATGCAGCATCTGTTGGTGTTTTCTTTTTCTTTTATTTTGCAGGCAGAGAATAGAATGCTGTAAACACCCACAGGGAAATGTCACAGAAACAGGACCCAAACCAGAGAGGGAGATACAAAATAGAGCCTGAAATAGCGAGTTAGCTATTAGCCTGAAACAGGAGTCAGCTGACTGAAGGCAGTGATGAATATACCAAAGTTGTTAAACTACAGCCTTGAGGACTCCCCACATTTAGCAAAGAAGGACAGCTGTGAAGATAATTCAGTAATGCTCTTCAAGCAGTAATAGTATCTTTTCCCAGACCGGTTTTAAGATTCTTGTCATGACTGAAAATGGTGTTTAACAGGCAGAGTGAGCTAGCTGAAATATAGTCAGAATCCTCTAAGACAATAGTTGATAAGAACATGTTAACTACACTTAGTCACACTCAGTCTTGAACCTCATCTGGCAGGGATCAGCATGAGCCTGAACCACAGGGTAGTTATCAAAGAACTAGCTCCTAGGAGCCTCAAATTAATGACAGAGGCTTGAAGGGGACCTCCCATACTCTGGGGAAGGATGGAAGGGTAGAGGAAAGTAGCAGGAAGAAGATGTGAAAGAAAGAAATGGTTCTGCTGAGGGAGTAGTGAGTATTGTCTCTTAATTGTTGCAAATTAATATTGCAAATAGTAAACTAATAATCGGATATTGTAGACACACAAATGCATTGATACATAGTTTAATTTTCCAGTGTACATCAGCATTCTGTCTACAGATTGTTGCAGCTTGCCTGGTAAGAGTTTTTATTGTCTTTCAAATGCTTTTCCTAACACAGTTCAAAAACTTGCATATTCTCACCAAGCATCATTTTAAAACTTAATGCTTTTTGAAGAAAGAATTTAATAGAAATATAATACAGGAGGACAGTCCTCTGCATTGTTGCTTCTACTGTGCTGAACTCTATTCTATGGTTGCTTTATTTTGGGGTAAATATTGGGCTGCTGTAATTGGGTTTATTGATTAGAATTGTTGCAATCTCACATTTGTTTGCCATTCATATTGGTGGGTTGTTTGGTTTGGGGTTTTGTTTTTTTTTTTCCCCTTTCTAGAAGGATTTCTGGAAGGACCACCTGCCAACCTACGAATGGAATCTTGCAATTTTCAGCACATTTTGTCCTGGCAGGCAGAAAGTGATCCAACTGTGCCAACATACTATCGTGTGCTGTACACTGACCGCAGGCAAGTCTTATTTTATAAGACACAAATTTTACTTTTAGTGTTTATCAACTCAAAATACTAAGGCTGGGATTTTCTTGTTTGTTTGCCTGGTTTTCCACTTGGAAATGCTCCCCCACCACCACCGCTTTCTTGTATCAGAGAATCCAGATGGATTATTGTGATCTTTTTTTAATTTGTTTTGATTTACAGGAACTGGAAGACAGCTAAACAATGTTCAGATATTACACAACTCTCCTGTAATCTAACAGATGATTTTAAAGAGCATTCCACTCAGTATTCTGCATTGGTTCAGAGCTTCATAGGAACTGAAGTATTCAATTCTTCTGTACTTGATTTTACGCCATATACTGACAGTAAGTTTTCTGTCTGCATATCCTCATTTTAGTAGTTTTTATTTGTAGCTGATGTATAAATGATGTTCTGCTAGCTTTACAGTAAAACACTCCAAACTAACTTGGTCAGTAGCTTATTCCTTTAAGAGAATATGAATTTGTACATAATCTATCACCTATCAGTTACAAGACATAGAATATATAATAGCTTTCTAAAATTAGTGGCTACAGTAGTTCTGATAAATGGATGAGGCTCTGCTTTTGAAATAATATATATATATATATGGATATAGAGGAAATAGTGTCGTGTCAAGCATTGGCAAGCACAAAGTAAAAATATCTAAGTGCATAAGAGATATAACTTAAAAACAGTGGGGTGGGGTTTTTTATGTCTTCAAGTAGCCGATGTTAAGAGTTAAAGGAATACCATGTCTGCAGTAGGTTTAGGGGAAGAGATTGACTTGTTTGTTCATCAACTCCCTCTTTTCCCTTTCCTTGCTGAAAGAAGGTGCTTATTAGCTCTGACATCTTCTAATGCCGGAGGTGGCTTCACCCTTAGTTGTGTTTAGTATTTGGTTTTGAAGTAAGAGACAGAGATTGAGGAACAATTAGAGGAGTATGGGGGAGAAATAGGTTGTGTTACGTCTGAATTCAGCACAGAGGTAGCCGCTGCTGTGTCCACTTATAGTATCAGAAATGATGAAAAGTTGGAGGGCTTGGGGAGAAAAGCCGCAAGGATAACTGAAGGATTTGAGAACATCCATCTGAGGTGGATGCCTTCAGTCTTTCAGCAGTTAGCTTAATAAAGAGAACAATCAGAAAGTGCATTGACCACTACTTAATATGGTAGCAGGCTTCTTCAGTGTTGTAAACAAAGCATAACAGTACGCCCTGACTGGAAGCTGAAGCTAGTTAAGTTTAACTAGGAGTAAGAGGCATATTTTGAATTGACCACTGGAACAAATTGTCATGTGATCTGACCGATTGTCCATCACTGGCAACTTGTAAATTGAATTGGGTGTTTTACTAGTCGTTCTCTGGCTCAAACCATAAACAACTGAGTGAAGTTGTGCTTTCCAGGGCACGGGACTTAGATGAACCTTGTAGCCCATTTTTGTTTCACGGTGCCTGAATAGGAAAGAATCAATATTCTGAGATACTTCCCTACTGGGTATAGTTGATATCTGGCTTCAAATACCTACAGTGGAATCACACTCCTGTTGACAGATGGATTGAACGAAGACAGAAAGGTTTCACAACAGAGTCAGGAGAACAACCACGTTTGACCGTAACCAGATTTAAGCTAACATTTATTTGTAACTTAAAACAAAAGATGAGAAGGGAGTAAGTATGCAACCATTTGACTAGGACATGCTTTCCTGTTTGAGAGTAGATAAAAGCTCGCATTTGTTCTAAGTATTAAACTTTTTTTTTTTTTGCTTTCTATCCTATTTCAGGAGCAGAAGTAGTTAGCAAATGTATATTGCTTTTTTGAATTTTGCAGAGGTTGGCAAACCAGTCTCCATCTTGATCAAAATGTATGTGCTTGTGGAAAATACAAAAGTGAAATGCAAACTCTAAATTTTCATGGTTTTTTTTACCCACAGTGTACAATGCAGAAGTGGATGATTGTGGAGATAGTTTGTTCTTGCACCATTTTTCAACATTC